CCTTGGGCTGTGAAGTGATGAAGAGGAGCCAGCCTTCATCCTGCCAGCACCAGTGTCACCAAGCCTGGCCAGGGGGACATAAATCATTCAAGGGCAATGGACAGGCAGCCAGGAATACAGCAACACAGCCAGAATGCTGAGTTTTATTTTACCAGAAAACCAACCTAAAAATAGTCTGGGGAGGGCAGGGGGGAGTGCTCTGTGCCAGCAGCCCCAGCCAGCACTGCCACCGCTGCAGGGGCAGCAGCAAAAGTGATTTTGGGAGTGGGAGTGAGGAAGGGGATGTGTGCAGTGCTGGTTCACAGGAGCAATGACTGACCATGGTCTGCAGCCTTCAGCTGCTCAGCCATGGCAACCTCTGGCTTTCATGTACCCAGAAAGGCAGAAGATGAAGGGTTAGGAATGGCTGTGCTTGTGGATGCAGCACTTTAATGAGTTATTGAATTCTTCTGTGTGTTGGTTGGGTTGTTGTTTGCTGTTTTTTGGGATTTTTTGTTTTGCTTTGTTTTGTTTTGTTTTTTTGTGGGTCAGTTTTTGGTTTTGTTTTTGTTTTCTTGCTGTCTTAAAATGCTCTATAAAAAGCAGATGTGTAAATCAATTAACTTTTAAAGTCCATTTGCACGAGTGGCAGAAAACCTGCTCAGCTCCGGTGCCAGCCCAAACCTGCAGCCCTGATGATCACCCCACAAAGGTGTTCAGCCCTTCAAAGCTTCCCCTGTGAAACTCAGCCACCTCTGTGGCAGCTCTGGGATTCCCCAGCCACAGTCTGTGTGGAGGGGACACAGCACAGCTCCTCACTTTCAGTCCCCTCTGCCAAGGGACAGAGAAGATCTGCATCCCTGGGAGAGGATGCAGCAGTGGGCAGCAATTTCTGCATGTGGCTGCAGAGGGGAGCAGCTGTGGGGTGGCCAGGGAAGGGATGGAGAGCTGCAACATGCAGCAGTTGGGAGCAGGCGGTGCAGGAGGAGAAGTGGCCAAGAAAGTCCTTTTAGGGAGTTTCCATGAACAGCTGCAATGTGCAAAGCCAAGGTGGGACATGTTCCCACAGCCTGAGGTACAGACCTCATCCAAATCTGCTCCTGATCTTCTCCAGGCTTAGCTGGGCTGATCCAGGCTGCATCATCTGACAGCTTGTCTCCCAAAACCAGCAGAAAATGGGGATATCCTTGGGCTTTCCAAACCTGGGACTGCTCCACGTCCCCATGTCCTCCTCAGGTCTCTCCTGGAGCAGCGAGTGGGGCTGGGACCAAAATAGAAAGTGCCTAGAAAGTGATGGTGGCCAGGGTCTGTGTCTGCCTCCACAGGGCTTGGGTCATGTCTCCTGGGGTTTAAAAAAAGAAACAGGCTGTGACTGCAGGCCAAGTGCTCTGTTGGTATAAATGGCCACGCTTCCCCTGAGCAGAGTTCAATCTATTTATACCAGTGAAGAATTTGGCCCGTTGGATAGAAGAAATCCTGTACTCTGCTGTGGCTCTCTGAGTTTCTGCCCTGCAGAGCCACAAGACTGTGTGTCCATAGAAAGAAACAATAAAAGGGAGCCTTTCCACTAGCACTGTTTTGCAAAAATTGTGGATACAGGGAAAGTTGAAGTTTTCACAGGAACACACCCATCCTGACTGGACTTTCTTTGGAAACTGTTTTTCAGCAAGCTTGTACCATAAAATTCTCCCCGGAAAAATTTGTCCCCTGCTGAAGCAAACAGCTGAGTTCAAACCACACAGAGCACCAGGGATGGGAAAAAATGAAGGGCAAGAAACCCAAATTCCAGCTTTTGCTCTGCCTGTGGAACTTGCACCAGCAGGGAAGCATCTTACTAAAGGGTGATTTGCTCATCCAGGGTGTTCCTCTCTCCAAGAGGGTGGAGAGGGAATTTGATTTGCTTGTTTGTTTTAGAAAAGCTTTGAAAAGCTTTGGCTTCCTCTCAAATTCAGGGGAAGAGCTGCAAAAATTTCAAAAAAAACCCCAAAAGACCCCAACAACAACAAAATCCCCAACCCCAAAACCTCCTTGGGTTTTGAAAGCTTTTTCCTACCCTGCTCCAGAAGGGGCCATTAATTGTAGAGCATTTCAATTGCAGAAAGTCTGACTATTGAGTCAGAGTCTTTTTGAGCCTAACCAGATGTGTGGGGCTTTTGTAAGTCGCTCACAGCATCCCAGCAGCTCAATATAGTTAGCATTGCTCAGAATATTGATTGCCAGTGGCTGTAAATATGTCTGCATGCATTTCATTGTAGAGAACCCTGCAAGCATCTAGGAACCAAAACTTTCGCCCCACACCCCAGCCACCGAAATGAGATTATGCACTGATTGCATAATTACTGTAGAACAAGGTTTGCTCAGCCCCTCCGTGCACAATGCCTGTTTTCATAGCATTTAATGGGAGAGGCATAATGGGCACCAGCTTGAATAGCCTGATGCCAATGAGCCATTGCATTTCCCAAAGCAGCTTGAGTCTGCAAAATCTGGTCCAGCTGCTCAGCACACAGAAGGGTGACAAGGGAGGATTCCCAGCCCGTGCTGGGATGGTAATTGGGATGTGCATGGGGGAACACCCCCCTTGCCCACACTGAGGTGGGCTGGCTGGCTCCTAGCACTGGCTGGGTTGTTTCTTCAGGCTACACAAGCCAGCTACATCAATGCTGTGACCTTCACATGTGTTTTGCCTGCACCAGCATTTGCGAATCTGGACTGATAATGCTCTCACTAATTTTGCTCTGTCTGCTGCTGCTCTGGTCTTTCCTCTTTGCTCTGAGTGAATGATTTAAAATGGCTCAAATCCCACACAAGGCTTGTTTTTGTAATGAGTTAGGCAGCAAATTCGCTCATGTATTCATCCCTGGCTTAGTCCTGAGTGGTATGGATCTGGAACAGCCCATAAACAGCAATTTGCTCATCTTTTAAGCTCTATTGTTTAGGCAATGGGTTTTACTTGGATGGTTGAAGGCCAGCCCTCTCTTAGCACAAAATGTTTTCTCTGCTCCAACAATAACTACAACCCTTTCTTTCTGCTTTGCATTTATTTGCAATTAAAATAAATGGACCAAATGCTACCAGATGAAATGAGCACGACATTCCTTGTTGACTTACCCACAGCTCCAACAGGTCCCCTGGCCCCGGGCTTGCTGCTTGTCCTCTCTGCCCTTGCATACTCTGATGTCTTGGCTCTCCTTTACAAGTCCTTCAGGGACTTTTCTGGCCTCAGCCTGTCTCTGGAAGGGGCATGTGGGTGGTGCACAGTACCCACAGCAGGGTGGTCTCCAGTTCTCACACATGGGTTTATTCTGGGGAATGTGAAGGAGCAGAGCTGGGACCTGTCTGCCTGTGATAAGTGTCTGTAAGTGTCTGCCTGTTCAAAGAGAATGGCAAAGCAAAGATTATGGGCCTGAGCTGATTGAAGGTAATTTTTTAAGGGTTAGGTTGAAACCCTTAGGTTGAAACATGCTGTCTGGGGAAAAAAAAAAAAAAAAAAAAAGGAAGCATTTTGAGAAAATTTCAGGCTCTTTAATGTCAGACACAGACACTTCGGGGAAAGAGATTTTCCTGCTCTCAACCTTTCATTATCCATCATCTCTTCCAACTGATGGCTCAAAGCCACTCAGATCATGCTCCTTGGTTTGCCACTGTGCAGTGCTGTGATTTCTATCTCTGGTTTGGCAGGTGCCTGGGGAAGTGCCCAGAACAGGGGCTGCCCCAGCACCAGCTGGGCTGGCAGTGGAGGAAGGGAGTCAGGACAGGACAAACTCAGGGCAGCAAGACATCCCTGTGCCATGCTGAAGAAATTCACCTTCTTCACTATTTTCAGTTGGTGATATAACCAGCAGAAAGTTATTTGGAGAAAGGCTTTCTAAGTCTGAAGTGTGCTATGGAAGGCACTCAGGCTCTTGGGAAGGTAATGCCCCTGTTAAAGTTCCTCACCCTTTCTTACCATGCTCACTCACCGCCATAAATTGATTAGCAGATTTCACGGAAAGGTGGGCAAAGGGAACTTTTCTGGTGCAGCTTTATGAGCTATACCAGAACCCCCAGCTGCAGTGAGCCACTCTGGGATGGAGAGCACTGGAGGTGGATCGGGGATGGAGAGAAGTAGAGACAGACCTGGGATGGAAAGCACTGGAGATGGATCTGGGATGGACAGCCCTGGAGATGGATCTGGGATGGATGGCTCTGGAGATGGATCAGGGATGGAGAGCCCTGGAGATGGATCTGGGATGGACAGCCCTGGAGATGGATCTGGGATGGATGGCTCTGGAGATGGATCTGGGATGGATGGCTCTGGAGATGGATCTGGGATGGACAGCAGTGGAGGTGGATCGGGGATGGAAAGCCCTGGAGATGGATCTGGGATGGATGGCTCTGGAGGTGGATCTGGGATGGATGGCACTGGAGATGGATCTGGGATGGACAGCCCTGGAGATGGATCTGGGATGGATGGCTCTGGAGATGGATCTGGGATGGATGGCCCTGGAGGTGGATCTGGGATGGACAGCCCTGGAGATGGATCTGGGATGGACGGCCCTGGAGATGGATCTGGGATGGATGGCCCTGGAGATGGATCTGGGATGGACAGCCCTGGAGGTGGATCTGGGATGGAGAGCAGTGGAAGCACAGTCAGCAAACACGTGGGGCAGGAGAGGAAATGCGAATGATTCCCAGGCAGATGTTCACTCCTGCCAACGATGCCATTGGGCCTTTCATATCCCTACAGAGCCGGTATTTTTAAAGTTTTTGCTACACCTTAGAGAAAAATCAGATTTTTAAGGTCCTTCTAGAGACATCTACTGAGCAGAAGAGGAGTGGGCCATTTAGGTTGTCCTCTGTCCCCCCGCGGTGCTGGCACAATGCATTACCAGGTCAGCCTGATCCCAAACAAGCTGAATGCTGCAGGAGAGAGTGGTCATGGTGTTTTCAATTCATCTATTTTTATCAAAACACATGGGTGGCTTTGAGCATGGACGCATTTGGCACCCAGGCACACCAGCCCCGTGATTGCTCCCAGCTGCAGGCACAGCCCTTCCCCAGCCATGGTGAGAGGGCAGGGGAAAAGCCACAGTGAAACGAGGAGCTTGCTGCACAGAAAATGGACATTTTGACAGGCTCCCATTTCATATTAGAAATGTTTTGATTTCGTTTCCTCTGCAGAACATAAACAGATTTTGAAACCTCAGAAGTTGCCATGAGACAAAACCCGCTATTTCCTGGCCAGCTCTAATTGCGGCTTGTGACCAGCCCTTGCTATTGAAGTCAGAAGTTACACGAGGGAGGATCCTGGCTCAGCACAGATTTGTGTGGAGAAATGTGATTTGTCACTATCTCTTTAAGCAAAGTTAACTCTTCAGTGAAAGATTTTTTTGTGTCTGATTCTCTTTACCAGCAAATACCCGCAGGAAGTGTCCTACAGGCAGCGTGACAATAGGAAGGGGTGATGTGGACATGGCATGTGATGTGAGTATGGCAGTGCCATGCTTTTATGCCCTGGAGTGCTGGGATCTGAGTGCAGCCATGGGGCAATATCCCTCGTGTCCCAGCACGGCCACCCCAAGGACTGAGCTGAGCCTGAAGCAACATCATCACCTTCCTCATGTGGGAAGAGTTCTTCCTTCTCCTTGTCCTCTAAATCCGCAGGCTGAGACTTTTTGAGTTGTCTTGGAGATTTTAATACCAGCAGAAGAGGAAAAAAAATGAAAAAAAATGAAAGAAAAAAAAAAAGAAGAAATAAGCCACCCAATTCCTGCACACAGCTTTGAAAATACCAGCTTTGTATTTTTGGGCAGCTTATGAGCTCAGGAGTGCTGACAGAAGTGGCCAGAATTAGGGAAGAGCAAGAAAAATGATGAAGTGCTTGGGCAGAGGGACTTGGCCATGGTGGGAAGAGGCACTGAGGGTTGCATGACTGCATTAGAAGAGGAAAATATCCCAAGGGCAAGAGGGGTGCTGGACAGAGGTGGTTGGTGTTGAGGAAAATAGAAGCCAACAGTGGCAGCACACGAGGAAACCTTTCCTCAGTCTGAACTCCAACCCATTGTGAAACCTTCCCAGTGGGGAAATGCTGGAAACCCCCGAGGTCATGTCAACAACAGCGGGGCTGGCTGGAGCCGCAGGAGGCCCGGGAGGAAATAGAGCTCTGGGGAGAGCTGGTGTACCTGGGCTCTTCTGATTTATCTGATCCCATCAAAGCAACCCCTCTGCAGGGCTCAGTGCAGGCAGGGACCTGACTGGCAGCCAGGTTTGGCAGAGCAGAGGCAGGAAAAGCCAATTTTGCAACTTTCTGGTTGAGTTACCACAGGAGAGCACAGACCCAGTGCCTGCACAGGCACTAAATGCACAGGCCAGTGCTTTTCTTTTGGATCAGAGCTTCATCTAAGAGAAAATCCTAATTTCACTGTCTGGTACCAAACAAGTTGATAGCACTGCCAAGGATTTATAAATATAGGACTTCTTTCAAAATAATTAGTGCTGCTCTTGACCCGAATTCAGGCTGTTAGGTTTTTCATCCCCTCTCATGACAATTTCATTTTATCATCCCCACCACTACACACATTTTTCTGCGATGACTAATTTGGAAGATGGTAAGCTCACTGCTAAAAAACAGCATCAGAAATGTGTGTTTATCAGGAGCAATGGGTGCCAAAGGCACAAATCTTACAGCTGTGTGAGGGGAAGCGACAACAGTCATATGAATACAGAATTATTTGCATCCCATCTTTGTCCTAGTGCCTCTGTAAAAGAAAAACAATCCCTTTTTTTCCCTAATGTCTAAGGAATAACATCATAAACCAAAAAATCCCTCCAAGTTACTGTTAAATTTCCTTTGTGGTGTCTGTAGCAATCCCTTAAAGGGTTAGCTCCGAGCACTTCTTAATTTTGCAAGGACAACACAGGAAACAACTGCAACTGTGTTGGGTAAGTACACAGATTGTTTTTTCAAGGAATTCTTTGTGTCTTTGATTCCATTTATACTTCTGCATTCTGGTGTACCTAAGCAAATATTTCTGGGAGGAGCCAGGGAAAACTGCATTTTTTTTCTCAGAACTGACATTTTGAGTATTTCCAACCAGCTTTCAAGTTGACTGAAAAATGAGGGTCATTGTTTAGGAGAAAAGCTACCTGGTTTATTCCACATTTTCCCAATATTCAAATTTAAAATCTCAATGGTGTTTAGGAGGTGCAAGGTGTTTATTTCTTGCCTGGGCTCTGCAGTGCTCATCCATCCTGCTCTTGAGGAAGGATGAGTTATGTGATGTATCAGATCCATCGTGGCTGCAATTATCTGAGAAATCACTGCAGACCCTTTTTTATTGCAGGAAATAGAGCTATCATGTTTTGACCACAGCATATCTTCAAACAGGGAAAGAAGAAATCAAGTTCTGTGCTCGCTTTTTCATGTGCCATTGATTGCTATGGTGATCCCATTGCCAAATCCTTTCGTATCTGAAAGCCTGGGCAATTGTTATTTTTAAAGCCTTAAACCACAGACTGTGCCTCCTGAAACCCTTGATATTGACTGTGCTGGCTCTTAGGTTTCACTTTTGCACGTTTGTGGAAATTTGGGGAGTTTCCAGCCCAGCGAGCAGCAGGGCTTGTTCATCTTAAGGCAGATGCTTCCAAAACGCAGTGGGAGCAGGGCACACATGTTTCCAATTATCATATAAGAATTATAAAAACCCAAAACATTCTTAGAGGTTTCCAGACTTAGGCCTAAGTGTTTACAAAACTGGTTTCAGCTTTTAAGAATGTATTTCCTGGCTTTGAAGCGGAGCCCCTTGACTTCATGGGATGTTGGATGTGATCCCTGACTGCTCCTGGAGCTCCAGAGCCAAAGTGGTTCAGAGCAGGGGTTGATACCCAGAGCTCCATTCCTGCTCTGCCAGGGATGGGAGGGCTGTCCCAGCCTGCCAAAGGTTCTTTGGGGTTTTTTAATTCCATTCCAGTCTCTGAGGAGGTTTTGGCCAGCCCCAGTTAGGAGTCACATTTGTATTCAGTGGTGTAAGAACTAAAAATTTCAGAGTATCCTCAAAATCACAGTGGGGAGGCAGAGACAATATCCTCTCTTGGGACACCAGTGCTGGATCATTCCCTGATGTGACTTTCTCCGTGTTTTTTCCATAGCCATTATAAACACCATAAAAAAGCACCAGTCCAATCAGTCTAAATTGAATTTATTGTATATTAATGCTTTTATATTAACGTTTTAAATATATATTATGTCCTTTTTGCCCTCTGTTTTTATTTCTTCCATTAGCAGAGAAAAACTGCTGTTTTATTTTATGTCCCTTCACTTCAGCACTTGATGTACCTCCACGAAAAACCTGCAGTTATTCCATAAAATCAGTCACTGAGGTAAATAATAACAATCTTATGCCATAAACCTGCTGAAACTGTTGAAATACAGCGAAAGATTAGAGCAATCATTATTAATATAAACTATAAGAAAACAGAACATTAGCTGAATCTGTTATAAAAACCAAATTTTTTTTCCAAGTTGGTTTTAATTTCTAATAAATAACAGAAATATGTTTTTTCTGGGAACATGACGGATAGTTTTATGGCCTCAGTCTATCAGAAATAATGCCCCGTTGGCTCTGTTCTCTGCCACATACACTGAAGAGCTCAGATTCTAAAGCACCAGCTTCTCTTCTTCATATACGGGGCAAAAATACTGATAATTAACATTTCATGAAAGCACAAAGACCTTTATCAAAGGGAAGGATGCATAATGCATTTTCAGTGTTATTATTATAGCACTTGCCTTTACACAATTATTTGATGTTTTGGTTTGTTTGAGAAGAACATCTGTAAAAAATCTTCTAAGTCAAATCCAATGCTTTTAAAAGGCACTTAATGAATTTTTCTTGCTGTGTTTATGTTAAGAGGTTATTTGTTTGGAGATCATCTGTCATTTTTTTGTGCAAAACATTTGAAGTCTATTAGTGACATTTTGTAAGTCTATTAGTGAGATTACTTGTGCAATGGGTATGTTTTCCCCCAGTCCTGCAGGAGTCTCCTTCATGGTAATTTAGTACTTTTGGAACCTGCCTGGCTGCCCTGGAGACCATTTTTTTCTGAATATGTGAAGATACAGATCCAGTCTTTCCAGAACATGCCCGATGTGTCTGCACACACCAGCACAAGGACCTGGGCATCCTCAGCCCCTCTGTGCTGTTGGGACATGGAGAGGTTTGGAAATGCCCCATGGAAAAAGAGTTTTTGACCTCTCCATGGGCTTCTTTTGAATAAACCCAAATTGTGGTTAGATAGAGCCTCCCAAAACACCCATCATCTGGGCTATGGGAAGCCAGATGCTGGGGTTTTTTTTAGAGTAGTACTAAAATAATTTTTTCCCTTACTATTGATTCTACTCCCTAATTTCCTGAGGAATTCCTGTAAAATTCCCTGAGGAGTTGCACATGGGAGGGGACAACCATTTCCAGGGCAACTCAAATATATCATCTTTATTATACACAGCAAAATTTGATGCCCACTTTGTTGCCCATCTCATGATGTGAGAGCTGGGAGGTTGACACAGCCACTCCACCTGTGGTGCTTCTCCTGCACATGGGGGAAGTAAATAAAAGCAATGCTGGGATCAGGAGGGGTCATATCCTGTGCTTCCCTCAGCCTTCCCAGCCTGGTGCCTTGCTGGTCTGTGTCCATCACTGCGGGGCGATCTGGGAAAACCACTGGGAGGGGTGAATGGTTTTTCACCTGGGGATTCAGTTCAGGCGACCTTCTACATCACCCTGACAACTGAATTTAATTGCTAGAATACTAAACTATGCCACATTTTTATTAAAATTAAATAGTATGGACCAGACATCTGAGAATCAGGCAGGTCAAAGGACTTTATTATTTTTTTCTCCCTTCTTAGTGTCTCTCTTAATATTGCAAAGGCTGCCAGAACCTGAGTGGTGTTAACACAGAAAATGTCACTTCAAATTGAGAAGTTTATCACTTTGTCTCTCCTTTGCCTCCTTCCTCTGACCAGTTGGTGTCTGGCAGCACAACCTCGTCTCTCCTTAGTGCCGAGGCAAGAGACGAGGCCGTGCTTGGGCGATCTGACAGTCCAGGCCCTTGTTTTTACAGATTGCCTTTAGCAGCTGAACTTGTCAGACATTTTAGGTAGAAAGAGCAGAAATGAGTAATGGAGGCATCTGATTATAGCCATAAAATTCACCCAACCCCAGAAGGATGCATAGCTGCTCCAGAAAAACCCAAGCAGGTATTTTAAGGCGTTTTCAGACTGCAGGGCTGCCAGCAGCAATAAACTCCCATCATCCGATCCCAGCCCAGCTGGTTGTTTCACTTGGGCGAGGTGTGGAGGGCAGAAATTCCCTTTGTTGATTTTCACTCCCAGTGGCAGGGTCTGCGCAGAAACCAAATAACCCAGGGCTGTGGCTACATCTTAATTCTATTGCTGCTCCCTTGGGGGATTGGTGTGAGTGGTGTTTTCAGCACTCCTCGGGGTTGCAGTGTTCTGAGATTCCTGAGCTGCCATTGCATGGCTATATCAGATAAAGCACTTAAACCTCTGCCTTTGGCAACCAGGAGAAGCAGAAGTGGCCAGAAACCATAGAATCATAGAATAACCTGAGGTGGAAGGGATCCACAAGGATCATTGAGTCCTGCTCCTGGCACTGCACAGGACAACTCCAGGAATCACACTGTGTGCCTGAGATACTTGTCCAAATGCCTTTTGAACTCTGGCAGGATTGAAGATGTGACCACATCCCTGGGGAGCTGTTCCAGGATGCCTCTGGTACTGGCAGCACTGGCCCATCTGCTCCTTAAGGTGTGGGGGATCAGGAAGCAGAGGTTTTTTTCTTTCCTGGCCAGAATTTTACCTTTTGCTCACATTTTGACAGCACTGACAACAGCTTTGCATTTTACTGTGTTTCTACAGCAGACAAACTGGGATAGTTTCAGCCTGGGATTGAAGCAGGAGGGAGCAGATTTCTCCTCCAATGCTCAAACTCCTAAAACTGGGCATGTGAGTCCTGGAAGCAGAAGGATGGTGTGATCATGATGCATGGACACAGAGGAATGTCATGAAGCCAGACAGCACTGGACTGGCTCCAAATGCTGCTCTCAGTTCCTTCCCCAAGTTAGCAGGCGAGTGGCCACATCTCCAGCAGGAGGTCAGACTGACCTTGGAAAATGCAGGCAATGCAGCTCACCCGCTTTGTAAGCTGAGTCCAGCACCAGGAGCTGTAAGATGAGGCGGCCCAGGCCAGAAACCTCAATCCATGACCTGACCTGGTCAGCCTGAGAGGACTAAACCTACACTTTATCATGAAACAGCAGATCCTGTGTCCTTTTGTGGTCACCCCAGCCAAGGTCAAGCTGGCACAAGGGGTTTAATTCTGAGACTGAGTGAAGAATTTCTCTTTGTTGAGCTGACTGAGAGGCTGAAGATGCTGGAAGGAGGAGAGCCAGGGCTGACACAGAGCAAGAAAACACTAATGTTTTAATTAAAACAAATGGCTTTTAGTGTTTCTCATTTATTTTGCCCAGTTACTCAAAACACCTTCTTTTGAGGATTTTTTTTTTTTGTGATTTTTGCTTTACAGCAATTACCTCTGATTGCTTCAAACTGTTAGCATTCAGAAATAAAGCACGATTATCTCTTTCCAATATTTTTCGCGGGTTTTTGATTTCAAATCCATCCAATAAACCCAACCTGAATTAATGAGCCTACCTAGGCAGTTTTTAGATAAAAGCAAAGGCAAGAAGACATGCCTGCTTTTCCTGCTGCTCGCCAATGCCCACCAGGCACCTCATGCTGCTATTCCCTGCAAATAATAGGGAATGGTCCCAAGGAGGGAGTGCTGCCCTAACAGGACCCTTTTTACCAGAGGACACCTGATGGTATTAGCAGGAGCAGAGCAGTGGTGTTTCACCTCCCGTGGTTTATGTGCAATTACAGGAAGGGCAGTTCATGCCCAGGCGCTGCCAGAAGCGGTGCCTGCTCCACCACGTTCGGCCCCGCTGCCAACACCTCCCTGCCTCCCATCAAAGAGAAACGTGAGGAGCTGTTCCACCTGATCTGAGGGAAGCTTTTGACACAGTTAACTGTAGCATATTAATTAACAAACTTCAGCACGGAGGCTCCTCTGATGCAGCTCTCACAGGGTTTCACAGCTGAAGTGAAGCAGGAGGAGGGAGGGGATGTTCATGGCTCCAGGTCCTTCACCTTCACAGAGCTGCAGCAGCCAGGGTGGTGGTCCATGGTGCTGGGAGGGGATGGAGCTGCAGCATCTTCTGCCCACCTGGACAACCTCACCCTCGTGTTATCTTGCAGCCCTGGTATCCCACAGAGATTTGCTCTGTGAATTTCTAAGGAGACAGAAAAAGACAGGTTACCGCAGGAGCTGCCTGGCTCCTGCTGCCCCACATCCCAGCTTGGCTGTGTTCATAGTTAGACTCATTGTGCTTCCGTGGTCCTGTGTTCCTGCAGAAACCTAAACCAAGGGAAAATGGGGCAGTGGATGACAGCAATGTCACCGTGGCCCCAATGCACAGCAACTGCAGGCCATGGAAATTGGGTCAGCTTCTTCTGGTGTAAATCAGCACTCCTTTGCTGAAGCTAGTGGAGTTAAAAGAGTGCAAGAAAGACCAAAATTAGGTCAATCAGATGCACAGCTCCTTTTATGCAGTAACGCAACCCTCTTCTTTCTTCCTACTATTCTGCACAGTCAAGTAGGTCAGAAGTATCTCCTGTCAGGCAGCTGGGTCCACTGAGGTAACTCTGAATATCCTCCAAATCAGTGGGACATCAGGAAAAGACATCCCTGTCCCCTCCTGCCACTGTGGTCTGAAGCACAGGTCTGAGGGGGAAGAGGGTCTTGGGGCGGGGGGCTGATGAAGGTGGGAATTAAAACACCCCAAAACTCTTAGTCTGGGTCTAACCAGGCAAGAGGTAACCTACATTCCTAAATATCCCATTTGTAGAATTTGCCTTCTGGGAAGGGTTTTGCCATGGTCTGTGCTTGAAAGGGACCTCACAGACATGATGAGGGGCTGTTCTGGTGGCCCCCAATAACCCCTGAGCCACCTGCACTGGAGCTCACTCCCTGCTCACAGTGGGATGTGCCACTGCAGGGTCCCACAGCTTTCTTTCCCAAGTGAGTGCTAGAATAATTGGACCAGACCTCTCCTCAGAAAACAGGGCAACAGCTCCTCTATTTCCCTGAAGAGCCTCTTACACACAACCTCCTGTACATATTTTACATGCCTTGAACCAGTGAGACCAGAACAACTGCTTAACACCCACTGGAAAAGAGGTATAATTGAAACAAACTGGAAATAAGATCATTAGTGAAGCAATCCAGCTTCCTATTTTCATTCACCAGGAGCAGTGCCAAAAGGTAATTCTGAAGCTGGAGAAACTCTGTGAAGAACCGTGGTGGAGTCAGTGAAGCTGCGCAGGGAGGGAGAACGTGGGTGAGAAATAGTCTTGAATTGCTCAACACGTTTTTTGAGCTATAATGATTTTGTGATTCTGACTGAGAACTTTCTGCCTGAATCATAAAATAAATAAGGGTCCTGGAGCACCATGGCTTCATATCAGCAGCCAAGGAGATGAAATCATGAGACTTTCAAAACCAGAGCTGCTCCCAAGTTTGGCAACTCCCCTCTGTGGTGAGGAATGAAAGCTGTGTGCCAAGTCAGTCACAAATTATGAACAGTCCCAGAAATGGCTATTTCTTCTGCACCCAGCCTTTTTCAGCACGCTCTTCTCTTAAATTGTTCCACATCTTGTGGCTGCCTTACCTTGTGTCTGTATGTAGTCTCTAGAGGTCTGCAATAGGTGACTAACACCTCTCCCCCTGGGTGTCTATGGAGCCAGGATGTGACAGGCTGGATAGAGAGGGGTCTTAATTGCTTAGCACACTGAGACATTACTGTAGTCACAGCACCCATGTGAGACACTGATAGTAGCAACCAGACTTTAGTCCAACAGCAATAAAAGTGAATAATACAAATTTCTGCTATTATTTACCACTCACAAGCAAATGAGTCGTTTCTTTGCCATACCTGAGACAGTAGATGCCACAAAATACCTTCAGTGCCATCTAGCTACTAAGTTACATGGAGAGATAAACTTGCAACCCGGCACTAATTGCCATAAGGCCCATCAGTGGCAACGTCCTGTTGCAGCAGCTGATGCTCTGCCCTCAGGGGTCTAATCAGGATGGTAATGAAAGCCACAGAGATAATTTGCAGCCATAGAAAACTCTGCTTTAAATGGATGCTTATCTAAAGTCAATTCCTTAGAATGATGACTATATTAATAAATAACTACATGCACCCCAAACCCACAGGATATTTCTTTCCACTTGTAAAGGCCCTTCAGTATCTCCAGTCCCTCTGAACATCACCAAGAAGGAACAGCACTTTTGTGGTTTAGCTTTCATTTCACAGAGACTGAAAGAAGCTATGAAAAGTACCTCCCTTGCTTTCTGCTTGCCTTGGGTTCCATGTCCTTGTCCATCTCCATCATGTTCCAGGATCTCTGTGTCCATCATAGAGGTACTGGAGTGTTTTTATCCCTGATCCTCTCCAAACTGCTGGATTTTTATAGAAAATACAATAAATTTCAAATTTCCATGGACCTGTTTTGCTGGTGGAGGCTGCCCTGGCTGTCTGTGATGAGTGCACCCACAAGTATGCCCACACCACGCCAAGTGTGCTTGGTGCCAGGCTGGTGGCAGGCTGGAAAGTGGGTGCATACTGAGGGATACAGCAGACATGTAGCTTTCCCTAGATAACTCATTCTAAACAGAGCTGATTTTTCACTTTTTCCACCTCTGGCCCAGACTGTAGACTGTTGCCAGACATTTTGGTGCGTCCCGAACCAAGTTTTTTAGCAAAAAGCTAAGAGAAGCAAAACAGAATTAATGTCAAAGAGTGGCTGTTTTTATCACATCCTGTATTTTGGTGAGGTTATTCCATTTATGGTGTGATTTGTCCAGATAAAATCTGTCTATAAATGACCTTACGGTCTGGGTATGATGCTGATACAGGATGCATGTGTGCTTGTGCTGCCACAATGTCAAACAGCAATGCTTGGACAAGGATCAGCTGCATGGATGGAGCAGGCAATGTCCTGAGAATCCCTGCAGAATCCCACATTCTGCAGATGTGCATGCTCCTGGGAAGGTGAAATCAGTCCCACCAAGGGAAGATTCCCTGGCTGTGGCAGCAGAACACATCTGACAATGATGCCACAAGCACTGATGTCAGCAGGGTGTGTGTCAGAAGAGATCAGTGCCTGTTGGAGCACAGTGAGGACCTCATCTTTGGAGTCTCTCACTACTTAATGCTGGAGAGTTTATCCAGACCAGATAATCATGGAATCACAGAATCACTGAGGTTGGAAAAGACAATTGAGCCCAACATTATTAACCCAGTAACACCATGTTCACCACTAAAACATACTTTCAGGTTCCACATTCAGGTTTTTTGCAAATCTCCAGGAGCAAACAGCATCAGCCTTTTCAGGGAGCCCAAGCCAGATTCTGCCAGCTGACAATTTGTCTGTAATATCACAGTCTGTGCAAAAGACTTTGGAGCATATTAGTAATTGAAATTAGTGCTGAGGACAATACTCATTTTATATGGATGGACCTCAGCAGTGTGAAGTGGGTCTTAAAAAGAGCGTATGTGTGGCACCCACAAGGAGAATTTTAATTGTTCCTTAAAGATTTCACTGCAAAAGGTAGATCTGAGCATGGCAAAAGTTCAAACAGCCCTCAGGTGTCCCTCTGAGCTGGAATTACCATATAGACACTTAAATAAAAATGAGCCCAGCACAGGAACCTGACACCCCATCTCAATCCCAGCCTTGCTGATTTACACCAGCCAAAAGGAGACCTGACTGCAGGGCCAAACCTGGCCCATGGCTATATCCTGGCAGCTGTGGTGATTTAGAAGTTCTGTCAGTGTCAGTCACCAGTGGGTCTCGTTGAAAGCCAGATTTATCTTGTAATCTGCACTAGAGGCGTAAACTGCTACTGCTGCTCCCACACAGAATAAATCAGCCCAACGCAGCCCGGACCTGGTGGCTGTGAGCTCCCATCCTCACTCTGATTTACACATCCTTGTGTGAGAGTCAACTGTGGCCAAAGGTGGGCAGGAACCTTCCCTCACCTCCAGGCAGAGGGACTCCAGCAGGAGGGTGGCACTAGGGACAGCAGGACCTGGGGACAGCAACAAGCCTTAGGGTCAGCCTGATCCAGGCTTCCAGAGCCTGGCCAGAGCTTCCCCAGGCTGTGGCAGCAGGAGCAAGCGCTGCTGTGAGGAGGGGGACTGAGCAGTGCCACTGTCCTGCCCAGGGAGGGGACCCTGCTTTGCCTGAGCACATGGGGTTAACTCAGCCTTGAGGCTCACCTGAAGGTGAGTTAATTTTGAGTTAATTGAATGAGTTAATTAACTCATTTTAGGCATCTTTCTCTGGTTCTGAAACAGAGGCTGACGAAACTAGGGAGGATAATAATATAATAGCCACCTAAATGTAGTCCCAGGGAGTGTAAGCCTCCAATTCTTCACATCCCTACTGTGAGCTCACCATTTCAGCAGCTGTCCCCTTTGGGATTTTTTTCTTATCACATAAAATAAAGAACACTGTTTTC